ATATACACACACAACCTCTCCAACTATCAAAATCCCCCACCAGAGAAGTACATTTGTTATAATTGCTGGACCTACATTGACACATCTTTATCACTCAAAACACATAGTTTACATTAGGGTTCATTCTTGGTGTTGTAAATTCTGTGGATTTGGGCAAACGTATAGTAACATGTATCCACCATCACTATCACAGCCCTAAAAATCTTCCGTGCTCTGCCAGTTCGTCCCTCCCTCCTTCCCCTCTAAGCCGTAGCAGCCACTGATCCTTTTACTGTCCCCATGGTTGTGCCTTTTCCAGAATGTCATATAATTGGAATCATACGGTATGTAGCCTTTTCAAACTGCTTTTTTCACTTAGTAATATACATTTAAGTTTGCTTCGTGTCTGTACATGGCTTGATAGCTCATTTCTTTTTAGTGCTGAATAATATTACATTGTCTGGATGTACCACAGTTTATTTAGAGAGGATGACTTTACAAACTAGGATCGTATCCCAGTGCTGTGATGCATTGCAGGGGTTGGGGGTGTGTGTGATAGTGTCTGAGAGTTGTGGGAATGGGGGGGTTGGAATAGCTGTGATTTTCTTTTTTGCCGTGTGCTTAAAAAGCTTCTGTAAGCATCTGGGCTTCCCTGGTGGCGCAGAGGTTAAGAGTCCGCCTGCCGATGCAGGGGGCACGGGTTCGTGCCCCGGTCCAGGAAGATCCCACGTGCCGCGGAGCGGCTGGGCCCGTGAGCCATGGCCGCTGAGCCTGCGCGTCCGGAGCCTGTGCTCCGCAACGGGAGAGGCCACAACAGTGAGAGGCCCGCGTACCGCCAAAAAAAAAAAAAAAAAAAAAAAAAAAGCTTCTGTAAGCATCAAGGAGAGAGAGGACCTCGTGTAGGAGAGAGCTCATGGTGAAAATCTTCTAGAAATACTTCCATAACCACAAATAAAGGCAAATCTTTTTCTCTTAATTCCTCTAACTCACCCCACACAGAGCCTGGAATCTGCCTAGTCCAAAGCCTTCTGATAAATTAACAAATGTCTATGTCCAAATATTCCTTCAAAGCCAGCTGTCTGAAAACACGTAGACTAAGCAAACTGTTGGAAGAGAAAAGAAAGCTGAATTGCATGGGCACTGTTTCCTTGGTCAAAGAATATTAAGCAAAAAGAGACCAAAACAGGAGTTGCTGCAATTCAGACGTCGTTCCCACTGTTTGAGGATGCAGCTCTGCTCTATTTTCTTTATTTTCGGGAGGCTATTGGCTGAATGACCTGTCTTGTCTCAGTTGAGGTAAATTTCCTGCCAGTTGAGGATTTTTTATTGGCAGGGGTTGGTATATCAATTCCGAGAACTGTGTGATTGCAAAGCTGGAAAGCCAGTTCATTACGTTTTCGTATCACTGTCCAATTAAGTGTATTTACTGAAAGATGACTTCACTTCAGCCATTTTGAATCTTAAATACAACGATCAGTCTTTTATGGGATGAGTTAATGTCAAAATCTGTCCATTGTGTTTCTCATCAACAGTTTAATATCTTTTTTTTTTAACGCCTTTATTGGGGTATAATTGCTTTACAATGGTGTGCTAGTTTCCACTTTATAACAAAGTGAATTAGTCATACAGATACATATGTTCCCATATCTCTTCCCTCTTGCGTCTCCCTCCCACCCTCCCTATCCCACCCCTCCAGGCGGTCACAAAGCACCGAGCTGATCTCCCTGTGCTATGCGGCTGCTTCCCACTAGCTATCTATCTACCTTACATTTGGTAGTGTATATATGTCCATGCAGTTTAATATCTTCTAAGCATTGGTGAGCTAAGAGAATAATTATGGATAGTAATAAAGGCCTCCATTTAGGAATCAGCCAGCATGAAAATGCTACTGATTTCAGTTCATATCCATAGTTTTCAGACTATGGATATATACTATATATGATATATTAAATTATTGGTGAAAAATACCGCCGTAATGGCTGGTTTGACAAGATTATCACTTTTTAGGAGAACCGGAAGATTCAGTCTTATCCTGTTTGGACAAGTTGCACTGGTCTTGGGAAGAAACGTTTTGGTTTTGTATTTACAAGTCAGTCTCCCCAGGTTCTTTTTAAACTGGGCAAGAACAAGACTAGCTAGTTCTGTTGTCCATCCCAAACCCAAGGCAAACCATCTCTCAGCTTTAATTTTCCCAGTCACAAGATAGGAATTGCATATATTTGCAAAAATTACTCTAATATCGTCAGATGAAATGGTCCAAGAAGTAGAGATGAGTATAATGAATCACTGCGCTTCGGGGAAAAGGAAAGCCTCTTCATAATAAAGACTTGTACTTTTTTTTTTTTTCCAGCTTCTTTCAAAATGTCTACCGTTCATGAAATTCTCTGCAAGCTCAGCTTGGAAGGTGATGTAAGTATATCATTTTCACTTTGTGTAATTTTTGCAAATTGGTCATCTCTCTGGGTAACTGTGCCTCTTCCTTTCCTTGTACATCTAAGGAAAATGAGGACAAAATTCAGACAGTCATTCCTGGGATCCCCTTGCTTCCCTGTCTTCCCCAGTACTTTAGCTGTTCCTAGTAGTTCAATTTGAAAGAAATGGTATGGCTCCAGAAACTGTTTTGGCATCACATTAAAATTGGACAGACACTAGTGACACTGAGATGCTTGGAATTTTATCCTGCTATATACTTAACATGCCAGTGGTAGTAATTATTGTGATGATATAGGACTTTTTTTTTTTAATTGGAGTATAGTTGCTTTACACTGCTGTGTCACTCAGTTTCTGATGTACAGCAAAGTGAATCAGCCATACGGATACATATATCCCCTCTTTTTTGGATTTCCTTTCCATTTAGGTCACAACAGAGCACTGAGTAGAGTTCCCTGTGCTCTACAGTAGGTACTCATTGATACAGGATTTTTAATGTCATGCCCTCAGATTTTATTAATGGTTGGCATAAGCTACAGCCATATTGAAAATGATCCTGCATGTTTTGGACTTCTTACAGTGTCCAGAGAGTTATTCCAGACAAGGACTTTTTAAAATTTAGTATCTGGGAAAGCTTTTCTCCAAAACAACTATAAGTAATAGAAGTATTATAATTCATCTTGTTGCCTTTTTTGCTTTGGCTATCAGGTAGCTCAGACTTATACTTAATTGTCTTTCACAGGAACTTGGAAATTCTGATACATTTGCTTTTTAGTTTTACAGTCAAAAATTTTAAAAGCTATATGCAAAATTATAAGTCATTACAAATGCTTTTAGAATAGAGTATAACTTATGAATATGTAAACTATCTAATAATACCATACATCTTTCAGGTTATCTTGGCAGAACTGGCTTTTACAGAAACTCAGCAGTGACACTGGTTTGTAGGCATATCTTACAGATATTTCAAAATACACTCTCACTGAAATTAAAACACAGAGAAGCACTCAAGTGGGTTGACAGCAGCTTGGGTCATGTGGTACAGAACCGTCTGTCTCTGATGCTTGCCAATAGAACATTCAGATGGATGTTGTTGGTGCGAGCACAGGTTGTATGGAGTGTAAAGCCTACCTCGTTTTCATCTTCCTCGTTTTCATCTTTCTTCTTGGACCTTGTGCACACTGTTGTTGGCAACCATACAAGCAGCACATTGAGGTCCAGACAAGTCCAAGAGCTAAATAAATTTTTTCTTAATGGATCAGATCATTAGATCATTTTTAGTATCGGGTTTCATCAGAGGGCTTTTCATGTGGCCTTTGAAGTTACTCAAGTATGATGTGCTTCTCTGTGGAGAGATGGGACTGCAATAGAAAATGTCATGTATTCCCCAGAACTTTGAGGGAAGAGAAACATCACTTTGGCCTCCATAACTTGATTTTCAGATAAATGAATTTCACAGGTAATAAGTTCAATTATCCATTTAATTTTATTTCCAGAGATACTATAAAATTATGTAAAACTTTTCCCTACTCACTGTTGTTTTGGGGATGAGATGACATAGCACCTGATTTGTGAAGCTATATTTGATATGGCTCGTTGGCCAGACTGCCTGCCTTTGCAAATAACTGATGGCATTGTTAATAAATAGGAAAATGTGTTCCCTTAGATTTCTGTCCTCATTTTGTAGCCACCATAGCATATATAGTAAGTATTTCAGAATAACACTTTGTCATTACCTTTTCCTGAATGTGTGCTCTATTCCCATTGAGTTAATCTTACTGGAAAGTTTAAGTAGTGAAATTATACGGAAAACACCTTGATAATCCACTGTGTTTCAGTTATATGTATTAACTAGATTTACTATTTGGCCAAAATGGTCACAAGTACATTTTGAAACATTTTGTCCAGCCCTGAACTTAGATTTGTGGCTTGTGCTAGGAGACATTTGGGAGGATGGCATCTTAGTTGTTTACCTGCACAGCCTCACTGCTAATAAATGCTGGGGTGCCTTGTAACGTGATGCGTGTGGCCGGAAAGGTAAGTCAAGGCAACTCAGTCTCTGACTGTTCTCAGAAACTGAGCCTAGACGGAGTCACGATGTGATGGGAGGTGTGCAGTGTGGGGAGGCGGGGATGGGGAGCCTTGACGTTGAAGGCGGTTCAGTGGTTGGTGGGTCCGCTGGCCATCAGCCATCCTGAAGAACATTGTCAGTCCTGTTTTGTCGTTCCTTTGCTTTGGGACTGGGTAGCAGAGAGGAGGAGGGCTGTAAGTGCATTTCAAAGGAGAGGAGTTAACACTCTGGAGAGAACTGATGTAGAATCATGCTGTTGTCCTTACCTCAGTCTGGGGTGGGGAGAGCTGGGGAGGGTCCATCAGATCTGGAAGGGTGATGGGCTTCGAAAAGCACCAGAAAGGAAGAACCCGTGGTTCAAAGGGCAGTGAGGAAAAAAAAAAAAAAACTAGGAAGAGTAGTAGGCAGAGGGGATCGTGTTAAAGACAGCAGAGTGGAGGGTGGAGAGAGTAGAGAAAGCAGGCGGAACCTGGCCGATATGAAGAGGATGTGGGCCGTGTGGCCTGACCACCTTGGTTCCACGGCGGTGGCTGGAGGTGGGGGATGCAGGAAGAAGATGCTCCCTCACTTATCTCATAGTCCGAGACAGGCAGGCAGGCATTCTACATTTGCTTTTTAAAGAATTGTGAAATAAATAAATAAACAAACAAACAAACAAACAAACAAAGGGGCTTCCCTGGTGGCGCAGTGGTTGAGAGTCCGCCTGCCGATGCAGGGGACACGGGTTCGTGCCCCGGTCCGGGAGGATCCCACATGCCGCGGAGCACCTGGGCCCGTCAGCCGTGGCCACGGAGCCTGTGCTCCACAACAGGAGAGGCCACAACAGTCAGAGGCCTGCGTATCGCAAAAAAAGAAAGAAAGAAAGAAAGAAAGAAAAAGAATTGTGAGCTCAACGATACAGGCTCAGTGGAAATTCATGTGCCTGGAGCAAAAACTTGGCTAAACACACTTGTCATTCAGGCATTTCCACATTTCCAGCTTGTTTCAAATTTTGGCCAGCCCAGTTTCATGCTCTTCAAAGCCTTCCGCAAAGAAACGGGTGGTTTCAAGTGCCCAGCTTTGCGTTTTCCACCTTAGAGCTTGCATGAAAAGTAAGATGAAATGTAGAAATAGATTTATCATATTCTAAACTAGTTGAGCCTTTGAAGAATTCTCATTAGAAATAAGGAAGTTTCGTATCCTATGTGTGATGGCATGTTAATATACTTACTGAGTTACCTAGCCTAAAAATGATGCGAATTATTAAAAGAAACAATAGGAAAAAAATATTTTAGGAATTGACATTTCAACAAGAGGATTTTAAATATGTGTGATTGAAGTGTGTTTGTCTTTTAACCTCAGCACTCCACACCTCCAAGTGCGTATGGGTCAGTCAAAGCGTACACCAACTTTGATGCTGAACGGGATGCTCTGAACATTGAAACAGCCATCAAGACTAAAGGTAGGCCATACATTTGTCCTCCTTGTCAAACACTGACCAAAGCGTTTTTCGTCTCTTTCTTGAATCTTCATATATTGGTCATTTGAAATCGTCATCAAGCTTTAATGGAGCCATCGAAACCTACCCCACCCCATCCTTCTCTCCTTCGTTCCCCCTCTTTCTCCCTCCCTCCGTCCTCTCTTTGGAGAACATGAGAAACTAAATAACCGAATAGCATAGTGACATGGAAATAGGCTTTAGCTGAGGGCCAGGAGGTCTGATCCCCTGGGTGTGTGCTTTGGGCTGAGCTCTTCACTTTGAGGCCTCACTGCCCCTTCTACAAGGAAGAATTGGGTCATGGTGATCCCTAAGGGTCTCTTTTTGGTCCTAAATCCCCTTGAATTTTATTACATTTCTTGGAAAAATGCTGGGAACATTTTACTGCTTTGATCTCAGATTGATCTAATGAGCGAAAAATTCAGACTTCTTTTTTTTTTTTTATTAGCTCCACAAGTTATTACACCCCTCCTTAGGCCTGGAGCTTGGGTTTGAAGAGCTGTCGGGATGATTGTATTTCCTAGAGTTCCAGGATGAGTGAGAGAGGACAAGGAGGCATAAAAGCCTCTGTTCTGAAATAAAGCAGATAAAGCATTTAATTGGGTAAGAGTTGAGCAAGGGCCTGTTGAGCAAGGGGCTGTTCAGGTCATCGTGCTGTTTTCTGTATCCGCAAAAGCCAGTGTTCAGACTTCTTTGGCTTACGTTAACGAAGCATGTACCTTTGGGGTTGCCCCATCCCCGGATCCTTGGAAACACTGTGATTATTGTGGTGATGCTTGCGATTCACCACCCTCTTTTCCCCTTCTGGACAAAGTGCTTCTTTTCATATGAGGCTAGATTGAGACACATATGTGATCAGCAGCCAGAGTGGCTGCTGATTCATCCCCTGCTGACGAGTTATGGGACATTAGGACGATGGAGTGTTTTTACTTGTTGACAGATGCATACAATTCACATACGGGTCACTGACAGACTGGGGACCTCAGTCAGGGTGACCTGGGGCCCTAAAATTGGCGTGACCATGTGTCCCCGTTATGCCGGCATATTTACTGACTGTGCCCCCTTTTGCCCTCCGAATTGTCTTATTTTGCAAGATAGATTGCGTAGTCACTTTTCCTGGAACCCTTGGAGAAACTGGTGACTGTGTTTCCAGGGATAGGAAGGACTGTAGTAAGATCCTTTACGTCCTGTGGTTCTAATAGGACATAGTTTTGCATCACTGGCCTCAAAGCAGCCTTAGTTTCCATGAGGACATTGTGGGCACCTCCCACTACGGGCGGCCTGGACAACTAACTGCCTTCAAAAAGCCATCTTTTTTTGGTGCTTTTAAATGACCATACTTGTCAAAGCCAGGCTGGGAAGTCAGGAAGTCACTAATCAGAAAATGAAACTAAAATCTTCAGGGCTTACCTCCCTGCAGTCAGTTCTACTTGGTGGAGCCTAGTGGATGAGAGCATATGTGTTCGTGGGTTCAAATCTTAGCTCTACCACTAATTTGCTAGCTGTCTGACTCTGGGAAAACATTTAACTTTCTTAAGCCTCAGCTTCCTTACTATAGAAGGAGGGCTAATGGAAAGTTCCCACCTCACAGGGTTGTTGTGAAGTAGGAAGCTCTTAGCATGGTGCCTGGCATATAGATAATACTCAAAATATGTCACCTTAATACACACACACACACACACACACACACACACACACACACACACAAAATCCGCCTGGCATATAGATAATACTCAAAATATGTCACCTTAATACACACACACACACACACACACACACACACACACACACACACA